GCAGGTATAGTGCACCTAGACTGTGGGCTGAGAGAGGGGGCTGATAAGGAGATCTGAGATTGCCGAGTTCCACGACAATTTAAATAATGAGTTATTTAATGCACAAAGGCAGAACATACCATACAAAAAACTCAGATCAGACAAGAATGACCCTAAATGGATAAATAATTATTTAAAGAACATCATTGGCCTAAGGAAGGCTATAGGTAGAAGGATAAAGCGTGGCGAAATTTACCTCCAGGATTATTATAACATATTGGCGAGTAGGGTTAAAACCGAGATAAGGAAAGCCAAGAGGAATAATGAGGTAAGGATAGCAAGGGAGGCGAAGACAAACCTCAAAGGATTCTACCAAATGTATCAAACTAAAACAAGAGAAAAGATTGGACCAATACGGTCAGATACCGGCGAGCTCACTGATAACGACGGAGAAATGAGCAATAATTTGAATAAATATTTTTCAACATCTTGGAAAGAATTCAGAGGAGAATGACAAGACTAATCCCGGGCATTAGGAACCCTGAGTATAGAGACAGGTTAAAGCATTTTAATTTGCACTCCCTCGAGAGACGTAGAGTGAGGGGCGACCTGATAGAGGTGTATAAGTGGAAGTCAGGGCTAAACAAAGTGGACATTACAAAGGTACTCAACCTATCCAACTAGGAGAGAACTCGTAACAATGGATTTAAATTAGACAAATTTAGATTTTGGTGTGATATAGGTAAACACTGGTTTGAAAACAGATTAGTGGATGAATGGAACAAGTTACCAAATATCATCATTAACTCGAATACGCTGAATAGCTTCAAACATAGGTTGGATGCTTAAATGAGCAAAAGGGGTTGGGTGTACATGGGACTGCCCAGTATGGGCCAATAGGCCGGCTGCAGTTTCCTCCATTCTTATGTTCTTATATAACGTGGGCTCTCAACTACCACCCCAGACCTTCCCCCCCCCCTCCCCTAGTGAGGCTCGCCGGTGATACTCTTTTTTTTCTTTTTTATTAGTGGAGACTACAAGTTGGGGTTAGTATTGACGATTGATCCGCTATTTGTTTTGGTGTTAATTTTCTTACTCTATTTTCAACAGTGAGGTTAAAAACATTTCCACAAACCTCGACAATGTCCTCTATACTGTAGAACACAGTGAAATTGCTGCGTTTTTATAATCGTTTTCAATGCTAAATTTCCGGACGGTCAGTCGTTAGTAATTACTTAAGTTGGATTATGGTACAGTAGAGTGTTTATAGGAGAGGTAATATAAGGGTAGCAACAGTAACTAACCTGCACACGTCTTACACAACAACTTCACTTACACTGACTACCTCCATCCAATCATCCAATGTCCACCAAGGCTACACCGCTGATACGAAGCCCGTATCATGGACAGTTGCCATATTGTGAAATAAAACATGCATCGATAATGCTCAATACATCGTCATAAATATCTTTCCTTTTCTTATAATAAACACATACTAGGTGATTAATAATGGAGTATTCTTATGATATCGTTAAACTAGGCACACCTTTGTATTGAGAGATATATAAACAGTTGTGATGAGACCAGTGTTGCCACCCCATGTTCACCATTTAGCTTTGGAGGACATATTTGTTAAGTCCATGGGGTGAGCGAGTGTCTGTTGCTGCATCCATTTACCACATCTCATGGCCTTGTGGATCACCTGAAAATTAGACACCCAAGTTTATTTCACCTGAATATTACTGTATCTTCACGCTACAAGGGGTTTAGGATGGTTAATCAGGTGAAATAAGCAGGACTTTCTAATCTTCCGGTGAAATAAGCTGGGGTGTCTAATCTTCAGGTGAACAAGTTAAAAGCTTAATCTTCGTGCGAAACAAGTCAAAGTGCTCAATCTTCAAAAAAGTAAAACAAGGTGTGTTCAATCTTCAGTAGTAAGCTGGGGTGTCTAATCTTCAGGTGAAATAAGCTGGGGTGTTTAATCTTCAGGTGAAATAAGCTGGGGCGTCTAATCTTCAGGTGAAATAAGGTGGGGTGTCTAATCTTCAGGTGAAATAAGCTGGGGTGTTTAATCTTCAGGTGAAATAAGCTGGGGTGTTTAATCTTCAGGTGAAATAAGGTGTGCTCCTTCAGTGTTAAGCAAGTTAACTTTGTGTAAAGTGCTGTGTTGAATTCTGCAGAAAATAAGCTGGGAAGGCTCAATCTTCAGGAAGAAAGAAGCCGGGGTGTCTAACCTCAGTGAAACAAGCTAAAGGCTCATCTTCAGGTGAAAATAAGGTGCTCAATCTTCAGGTGAAAGAAGTTGGAGTGTCTAATCTTCAGGTGAAAATAAACTAGAGTGTCTAATCTTCAGGTGAAATAAACTAGGGTGTCTAATCAAGTAAAATAAACTAGGGTGTCTAATCTTCAGGTGAAATAA